TCTGTTTCTCATATCTTCTATTACACATTCACCACCAATGTATGCTTAGAGCAGAAAGTAAGGAGGGAATTACGATTTTTGGGCCTTCTATATACATATCTACCAACCTCGGTCCTGATTCTACTTATCAGTATATCCGTATAAAGTAGTCTACTATCCTCCTTTGACTTAAGTATAATTTTTTACTTGCGTCTACTTTATTCATTAACTTAAGAAGCTCCTTAAAGCTTTCTTTTGCCTGTTTCTAAAAGTGAAATAATCGTCCATATACCTCATCAAAAGTTTAAGAAGTGAAAGTCTTACTGAATAAGGCAAATCTATAATCGAACCATGCAGTTGCTAACGCTAAAACTTGAGGCAAATACAGGATCATGATTAAACCTTGTATTTGCTCTCATAATTTACCGTTAGTGATAAATCACTTGTAGTTCATTAAGAAATTGGTCAGTCTCATAATAGGATCTTTGCTCAACTAAATTACTACTAGCTCTGTAGACTATGCTACTTGGCTTACTATAATATTAATGCCAATCGATGATAGATCAAAACCTACTTTTTATTTGGAAATGAAAGGACCTATGCTTTTTTTAATGCCATGGGATTTTCTGAAACACAACTTTTAATAGCATTCATAAAATTTGAGTTAGCTTAATGAACTCACATTTCTCCTTTAACCAATCGGCCAAGCTTAAATTCCGATGTCTCTGTCAATAGATAAGCTTCAACCAGCACTTGTATCATAGAATCACGGAGACTATCCTACTTCTTATTTGTGCAGATATCGACTAGGCCCTAGATAATGTTAGTAGTTCAGTTGCTAGCTTCTCTGTGCATTTTATTGGGAATTCGTAAAAATGTGCTTAAATTTGTATAATTAATAGATGTTCTTTTTCCTTCATGAGATGACAGCTGAATTTTTTTTAAAAAGCTTTTTTAGGCATAGATCCTGCTAAGAAGCTGATTTCTAGTTTGGTTGGGGTAATCGGTCTTTATTGGGCTCTCTGGAGGAAATTTGGCCTAGTGGCTCCAGCAAACCACATACTTCACGGTTTAGAGTTACATAAAAACTTTAAAATGGAGCTTAGACAATCAAAATGAATTGAGATTTGTATGAGCTATATCTAACTACCCCATTAATAAACACAACCTCTAGTAGGATTAAGTGAGGCTTCACTATACGTATCCTGTACCTTTTTGGTTTCATGCGTTCATTCAACACTACTCAGTTGATTAGTTACGTTACCAGACGTTTCTTTGGCTTTCTGGTTGGCATTTCAATGAGTAGCGCCATTTTTAGCACTGAGCTGAATGTCGTCAAAGCGAGGATGAAGATGCTGTCAACTACGATGCCGGCGAAGCGCCTGGGAATGCGTCCAGTCACCGGTTCGAGGCTGGAAGAAGACATGACGACAGAGTTAAGGGTACGGAGCACGGATTCGAACTCGATGAAGTTGTAAAAACGAAAATACCTCAACCCTACATCTAAATAACAGGCTATACGATATTGATTTCCATGTTGAGTAGGAACTACTAATGCCTGATTAATAGATTGAAGAAGAGAGAGGGTGTTGAGCTACCATCCAAAAGAAGGTGACTCAACATCAGATTGCGCAGCCTCATTCTTGTCTTTCCTTGTGGGGTTAAAAGTTAATGACCCTAGACTGAAAGATTAGGACAAGTGGTTTCGTAACTTGACATACATGCTTACAAGCTTATGCCTCATTATCTCAACCCTTAATGCTTACGGACTTGCGCAGTCTCGGTCAAGGCTTTCTCTTGGTTCATTAGACCTTGATGATAACTCTGATTTAGGACCGGTATTGTGTATTGACGCTAGCACACACACGCACACACTCGAGCAAAAGGAGCAGGACCAGTCTTTATCTATCTATCTAGGTTTTTAATTTTCTTTTTACTTAATTGAAACAAGAAATTCCTCGAAGCCCAACTTTTCTTCGCATGAATTGAGTCTATATAAGAGGATAGATAGTCTTCGGATAGTCTTCTTGCCCAAGTGTTAACGTGAGACTTACAGGAATGAGACCCAGCTCTGATGATGTCCATCCTTTGATGGACGAAAGCTCAGCCTGTTTTCACCCTTAAATGAGGCCGGAGGTCTCGTGGACTTCGTCAAGCTGAACATCGTATTAGAGCCAAACGGCTGTAGTACAACGCCATTCAGCCGTCTTCTTCTAGTGAGATGGACCTACGAATCTCTTCTTTATGCACTTTCATAAGAAATGAAAGTCCCCCCAACAAAATTAAGTTTACTGATTCTGCCTCTTTTTGAAGCTCCTCAATTATCTCGATCCTCTACCACTTTCGCCATCATTGTTGTCTTTACCACCGTCTCCATCTTCTTCTGCATTCCACTTGATTCATCAAAATAGCCGGCATCAGCATCCTCATTATTTTCGCTATCAATGCCACTTCCAGCACTTCCATCGTCCTCATTGCCATCTACAGCGCCACTTCTTTCATCACAAACTCCGCTAATACCGGCACTCTTGATTGCCCCAACATTCGGACTGGGTTAGAAAGGGTTGAAAAGGACAATCGGTGCACACACTTCGCGTCGGTTACTATTGGCAATTTCTTGCCCTACCCTCTTCGGTCTTCAACAAATCAGTGGTGAATTCACAAGGCACGTTTTGGCCAGGCGTATTGATTGACTGTCACTCCGGGTCCAACACTTATGCCCGACATCCAGTTCTTCTAGAAGACCTGGGCGCTAGTGACCGGGAGCGAGAGAGGAAGAGGCACAGAGATATGTCCGCGGACTTTGCGTATGCCGTTTGTTCAAGCAATAAGGGGCTGGGGCTTTTAGCAACTTCTTGTCGTGCCTGGCTTCTCCAGTCGATCAATCAGTCCCTTGGAGGATACGCCTGAGGATTGTTCCCTCGGATAGCCATGGGTCTGGCCCAAACTCGGGCCGTGATTGCGTTAAGGTAGAAGTTAGTAACTGGGCGAAACACACCGCATATTGACAAATGTCAAAATAAGTAGTTTTTCACTAGCGAGGCCAGTGTCAAAAGGCAGTAGGGGACCTCTAGAAAGAGAGAGACGACGGAAGAAGACCTAAGAACTCTCGTCGTTCTGGTATTCTTTTTAGCTTGCCGACAACAGGCATGCCAACTTTTCATTGTAACCGATCGAAAATTGGTTAAGGAACACGGAATGAGAACTTGTGGGGAATTTTTACTGAAGCCGGTAGAGACAGCCAAAATATGTGCGCCTTTTGTTCACAAAACGAACTGTTACTCGGTCTGATCGACGGCCACTACTTGCTTCTACGGAGGGATGGAGACGTGTCTCGGTCTACCAGTAC